GGGAGCACAGAGATTACAATCAGCGGCTACACATCGACAAGTAAAGATAATAAGGCCGGTGAGCGGTGCACACACTGGCACACGAGACAAAGGTCAAAAGAACATAAACGTATGACGCCCGTGGTATATGCCTTTTTTTCCCCATTTCGGATCTATATCATTGACAAGTTTTAAATTCATTGAGGTAACATCCTCATGTGCATGCACCTTTAAGTAAACTCCTTCAGTTGGCAAGAATGTTCTTTCGAGAGTCCCATAAATGGGACCTAAGAATAAATATTAATTTGACCTAAAGTTTAAAATCTTTTCCGTTGATAATAAGGATTTTGCTATTCAGGTACAACAAGGCCTATATCAAGACACGCAACAGCTTAGAGAGGGCCTTAGGGGTCTGGAAGCGCCGCTTTCCGTGCACTGACATGAGGCTCTTAAACAAGCCGATGCGATCTGCCGCCATCATCACGGCGTGTGCGACACTCCACAACCTGGGACGGAAACTGTCGGACCCTTCTCCGCCAGCTGTGCTCCCCCCGCCCCCTCCTGCCAAAGCCCCGGCGCAAGAGGCCTTTGCCACCGTTTCCCCGGCTTCTGGCCGACAAAGGAACCAATGTGACGAGCCCAATCATTGCTATAGTCAGATGCAACCTGAGGACAATCTTTTAGCTCCACCCAGAAGCGCATTGCGCCCATCTGAAGTGCCTCTGTCGTCGAGAAAGTAGTTAGCTAGCAACGCTGCTTTTTCTTTCTCCTGGAAACGTGTCTTAAACTACTACAATATTTATTTAATTCATTCAGGATATTTAAATAAGTTAGAAAACGTTTTTGTCAACGAAATAGCTGTTTAGTGAAGAAAGAAAGTCATGTCCATTGTACCGTCTTCCCAATTTATTTTCTGTCCAAGATAATGTCTAACATACCGTCTTTTAGGCTCTTCGATTGAGGGAAAGCGAAGCACTTATAGTTTTTGCAAATAATAAATATTTAGTGATTTACTTAGTTTTGTGGGCTTTGCGCACGAAATGTCTGCCTTTATTTTGTTGGATGAATAGAAAACAAGAATAATTCTACTTTTCGGGTTTTGACAAATCGGCACCCTCCCAAGTCATCGACACCACCACCGCGCCCCGCTCTCTTTGTCTTCCGTCATGGATCCCACTGAGGTGACATCGGAAAGCGATTCCCCTGATTCTTCTTGGACAAAACAGCCTGGTGCAGCCTTACCGGCGACACCAAAGCGGTTCTTCAAGAAGCGCAAGCGAGGCCGGGTTTTGAACAGCGGCCAGCGGGAGCTGATCCTGAACGCTTACGTTCGGACGCGACATACCGAGCCAGACTTGACAGTCAACGAGGTCTGTAAAACTGTCAGCCGGTTGCTTGGTGTCGGCATGTCGAGCGTCCACGAGATCAGGAAGAAGGCGAAGGAGAATGACGGAAAGGTTGCGACACCCTCTCGAAAGCGACCTGCGAGTTCAGGCAAGCCACGGCTCAGCGTGAAGTACGGCGACTTTGTGCTGTGTGCAATGAGTTCTTGTCTGCACCGTTTTTTTCGCCAGAACGAGATCCCGACCGTCGCAAAGATAATGGCTGAGTTCTGTGCAAGCCCTAAGCTCCCTTCGCTGCAGAAATGGACTGTGCTTCGCCTTCTGCACGACATTGGCTTCGAGCGAAAGAAGACTGGTCGAAACTCGCGCATGATCGAGCGAGACGAGATCATCACGTGGCAAGAGAGGTACTTGCGGGACATTGCACGTCACAAGCAAGAGGGTCGGCAGATCTTTTACCTCGACGAAACGTGGGTGACGGCAGGGCACACTGTCTCGACGGTATGGGTGGACTGCACCGTGACCTTGTCCCACGACGCCTTCATGAGGGGTCTGATGACGGGCCTGAAGCAGCCGTCGGGGAAGGGCAAGCGCCTCATCGTCACGCGCATCGGCAGCGAGGACGGCTTCGTCGCTGGGTGCCTGGACGTCTTCCGCGAGGTAAAGACCGGCGACTACCACAAGGAGATGAACGGCACACGATTTGAAACGTGGTTCGAAGCTGTTCTTCAGTTGCTGCCGACAGGGAGTGTCATCGTAAGGGACAATGCTTCCTACCATTCTCGGCGCTTGGAAGCAGTACCAACGACGGGTTCCCGGAAGGAGGTGATCCAGCAGTGTCTCACGTCAAAGGACATCTCGTGGGGTGCCAAGATGCAGAAGAAGCAGCTCCTTGACATCGTGGCGTCGGTCAGGCCACTGTATTTGAAGTATCGCGTCGATACTGCTGCAGAGAAGGCTGGTTGTACGGTAGTGAGACTTCCACCCTACCACTGTGAGTTCAACCCCATTGAACTCATCTGGGCACAGATCAAGAACGGCGTTGCAGCCAGGAACACACCGTTCAAGATCAGCGACGTTGAAAAGCTGCTCAAGGAAGAAGCCGAAAAGGTCACGGCTGACAACTGCCGCAATGCTGTGACGCATGTCGTTGGAGTGGAGGAAGGCTACAGACGAGGCGGTGCTACAAGTGCCCATGTAGAGCCGATCGTCATCGAACTGGGGGAAGACGACACATCTGAGAGCGACCTGTCTGGTGTGGAGCCGCTCGAGGAAGCGTGAAGCCTACACCTTCAACTTCAACAACTTCACCTTCAACAACAACACCTTCAACAACTTCAACCGAAGACTGAGGGGGACCCAGATCAACGTGACCAAAGCATGTCGACTTGTAATCGTCATCAAAGATCATGGGCTGCCCTTGCGCCCATCACTACATCTGCGCTGTACGTCTGTAAACATGTTTCAAGTGTGTTCAGTTCATACCGATCATCTTGAAACAGATCAAAATAATGGAACTCGGTTAACAACATGAAACTGAAAAGAGCTAACAGCAGTGGCATGCACAGTGACTCCACCTTGCAGAAAAGGAAGCAAAGTACAAAACATTATCATGACTGCGAGGGTCGATTCGTTAGTTCCGTCACATTTTGTGACGGAACTTCGACCTGCTATCATTATTTTTAAGCTGTTTCTCTGGCCGTGTCGTTCTCCAGTTGCTGCTGCCCCTGTACTGTTGTCGTATTATACAGGTCCACTTATATTCGTATTATCTTCTCTTTTTATTTATGGGGGTTCAATATATAGGGGTTGACTTATTTTCGAGTAAATACGGTGCCTGACTTGCTTCTGGAACTGTTTTTGCTTGGAATGAACGGTATTTTTTGGTTTTAAGGTGCTCTGCATGGTTTTCACAGTCGAGGGCATAGCAGCAGTGTTGTTTCTCTTTTTGGTAGTGTTGCAGTGTCTCAAGTTGGTTGACCCCAGGGGCCCATGATTTACGGGTGCAAGTCAGGGTTTGAAATATCTCGCACACTGACCAACGTCTCCTGCACGGTGATAACCAAAATGACACCAGGGAAAGGTTTGAGTCCCAAATATCACTGGCTTTATCAGGTCGCTATTCCGACGGAAGGTGCTATGGCAATCATGTTACCTTACGACTGATCACGACGAAAACTGAAAACGGCAGGCTTGTCATATAAATGAATACCGCTGACAAACCCATTTTCGCAATGTATATTTGTTTGCTGTAGCACCACCAATAGTGCGGACGACGTCTGGTGAAGCAACTCACTGCTGTAAGTTTTTATGCTCATCTCACGCAAGGTAATACAGGGTGTCCCAGCGCGCTGTTCCGTCGTAGAATGGACCGCATAGATCGGTCGGTCAACGGAGCCTGATTAAGCTTTCCACATAGGTGCATTTGGATACACCTTCGTGGACATTTATCATACTAAAATTTCATGCCTAGGTTTCCTAAACGAAAAGCGAGAAAAGAAAAGCCGTAAATCTCTATGGGCAGACAGACTGGGACGCGGACCGCGTCCCAGTCTGCATGGACTTACGGCATCTCTTTTCTCGCTTTTCGCTTAGGAACCCTAGGCTCATTAAAATTTAGTATGATAAACGCACCGTCTAAATACACCTCCGTGGAAAGTTTTATAGCGCTGCGTTCACTGACAGATTTATGCGGTCCATTCTACGACGGAACAGCGCGCTGGGACTCCCGGTATACAGATCTCACCTGCGACTGATAAGCACGGCAATCTCAGCTCACCCCGCGGAAACCACAGCGAATTGAAGCAGCGGTGCCGGTACTATGTTGAGTAGCAACGTGGGGCAGAGGCGACAGAAATCCAACGAAGCAGACGACGTCCGGCGTAGCTTCTCACCTCTCAGCACTGCTAAGCCTCGCGCCCGCTTCGACATTTTCGTTGGTGATAGCGTCGCTGGATTCTCACGTTGTCGCGCAAAAACTGCTGCAAACGCAAGTCGATACCATTAGGATTTCGTGTCGTAACTTCGGGCACGTAAAGCACGGTGCAAAAAAGCATAATAATTGTCACGAGAAACTAGCGTTGCGTTGTTAAGGCCAGCAGCCATGTTGAGCTTTTTTTTTTTTTTTCAAAAGGATCGTGATTGGTCCACGGAATCGTGACGTCATGAAAACGATTGGCTGGCGTTTCTCGGCGTAGGATTACATTTTCCTCTGAGAGGCATTTCCGGTTTTTTCTTAGCTTGCCACCGACTATAGTCACTTCACTTAACTTGTCCAGTGTATGTGTTGTCATGTGCCTGAAGGCTGCTATCAGGCAATGCACGCAATCAAGAGTGAAGGCACCTTCAAAACATCTCATCTCATGACGAAGGGTTTCATTCTGGTTGTAGTAACGGGCAAACAAAGCATAGATACCACTTTTTTTCAGCGGCCTATGCCACGCTTAATTACGTAACTCTAATAAATGCTTTGTGAAATTTTGAAGTTTAAGCAAGTATGAAACAAATAAAAGTTATAAAAAAAGTTCGTTTCTTCCCATTTTTTTCTCCTCAGCAATCTGAACGATCAGAAGCTTATTTTCGTTCCTTCACTCCTCCATTCGGAGTTTGGGTTCCTTCACTTTCCATTTCCTTCTTCAGGAATGTGAGGCGGAAAGCGTGCTCCTCCACCTTCCTCTCCTAGCCGCGCCTCAGGTATCCAAGACGGACGTCTTGCTCGGCGCCCATTGTGCCCTCCAGCACACCAAAGTGCCCTTCGCCACGGGCAGGCACCTTTTGGGACCCAGCTGAGGAGCTGGCACGCTCGTCCCTGGCCGATGCAAAGGAGGCCGCGGCTGCGGGGCGCACAGCTTCGTGGGGCACTGCAGCTGCGGGGGGCATCACAGCTGCGGGGGGCATCACAGCTGCGGGGGGCACCACAGCTGCGGGGGGCACCACAGTTGCGGGGGGCACCACAGCTACGGAGGGCATCACAGCTGCGGGGGGCATCACAGCTGCGGGGGGCACCACAGCTGCGGGGTGCACCGCAGCTGCGGGGGGCATCACAGCTGCAGGGGGCATCACAGCTGCGGGGGGCACCACAGTTGCGGGGGGCACCACAGCTACGGAGGGCATCACAGCTGCGGGGGGCATCAAGGCCGCGGGGGGCACCACAGCTGCGGAGTGCACCGCAGCTGCGGGGGGCATCACAGCTGCGGGGGGCATCACAGCTGCGGGGGGCACCACAGTTGCGGGGGGCACCACAGTTGCGGGGGGCACCACAGCTACGGAGGGCATCACAGCTGCGGGGGGCATCACAGCTGCGGGGGGCACCACAGCTGCGGGGTGCACCGCAGCTGCGGGGTGCACCACAGCTACGGAGGGCATCACAGCTGCGGAGGGCATCACAGCTGCGGGGGGCACCACAGTTGCGGGGGGCACCACAGCTACGGAGGGCATCACAGCTGCGGGGGGCATCACAGCTGCGGGGGGCACCACAGTTGCGGGGGGCATCACAGCTGCGGGGGGCATCACAGCTGCGGGGGGCACCACAGTTGCGGGGGGCACCACAGCTGCGGGGTGCACCGCAGCTGCGGGGTGCACCACAGCTACGGAGGGCATCACAGCTGCGGGGGGCATCACAGCTGCGGGGGGCACCACAGCTGCGGGGTGCACCGCAGCTGCGGGGTGCACCACAGCTACGGAGGGCATCACAGCTGCGGGGGCACCACAGTTGCGGGGGGCACCACAGCTGCGGGGTGCACCGCAGCTGCGGGGTGCACCACAGCTACGGAGGGCATCACAGCTGCGGAGGGCATCACAGCTGTGGGGAGCATCACAGCTGCGGGGGGCACCACAGTTGCGGGGGGCACCACAGCTACGGAGGGCATCACAGCTGCGGGGGGCATCAAGGCTGCGGGGGGCACCACAGCTGCGGAGTGCACCGCAGCTGCGGGGGGCATCACAGCTGCGGGGGGCATCACAGCTGCGGGGGGCACCACAGTTGCGGGGGGCACCACAGTTGCGGGGGGCACCATAGCTACGGAGGGCATCACAGCTGCGGGGGGCATCACATCTGCGGGGGGCACCACAGCTGCGGGGTGCACCGCAGCTGCGGGGTGCACCACAGCTACGGAGGGCATCACAGCTGCGGAGGGCATCACAGCTGCGGGGGGCACCACAGTTGCGGGGGGCACCACAGCTACGGAGGGCATCACAGCTGCGGGGGGCATCACAGCTGCGGGGGGCACCACAGTTGCGGGGGGCACCACAGCTACGGAGGGCATCACAGCTGCGGGGGGCATCACAGCTGCGGGGGGCACCACAGGTGCGGGGTGCACCGCAGCTGCGGGGTGCACCACAGCTACGGAGGGCATCACAGCTGCGGGGGGCATCACAGCTGCGGGGGGCACCACAGTTGCGGGGGGCACCACAGCTACGGAGGGCATCACAGCTGCGGGGGGCATCACAGCTGCGGGGGGCACCACAGTTGCGGGGGGTACCACAGCTACGGAGGGCATCACAGCTGCGGGGGGCATCACAGCTGCGGGGGGCACCGCAGCTGCGGGGGGCACCACAGCTGCGGCGGCACCGGAGCTGCGGGACAGTCAAGACCTTAATCCTCTTCGTAACCCGTTGAGTAGTGTGCATGAAAAACAAAAATGGAAAACAGCAATATGATTTCTAATAACCAAACGTCTGCTAACAAAAAAAATCAAATATAAACATTTGAAACTATTGCAGCTGCAATCACTAAAAGACTAATGGAGGCCACATTTTAGGTGCGAAATACTTATTTTTTTAATTCAAACCAACTTGACATGCGAGCTTTGAAACCCACTTCTCTCTGAATCATTTCGCATGCATCTTGGTGGCAGGCTCTTGTCCAGTCTCTTTTTGAATTGCTCACTTGAAGCATCGAAACAGATTCTTTTCCTTGCTCTAGCAAGTATAGGTTGCTTGCCTTTACTTCTCAAAGTTTGGACACCAGTAGCAAGGTAGAAACATCTCACTTCACTCGAACTAGCAGGTCGTATCCATCCTCGTATTTATGGCAGGCACAAGGTCATGCTTCATCCATGAAACTGACTGGTATATGCATTGCCTAATCTAAGCTGGTCAAGCCTTTTAATGCTCCATGTCCACTAGGACGTTTTGCAGTTCATTGCCTAGGCCATTGAAGCCTATAATCTGCTAACACCACCCATGCACAACTCTTTTAGCACACCAGGTTGATCCAAGCAGTTTCTGGTGGTAGCAGTTTTTGCTGGCCAACTTAAAAGTGTTCATTCATTTATGCTGGTTAACTCTGTTGATTTTTTAACAATATGTACAATGCTCATAGATGCACACTCTTTCTTCAAATGTTCCAACACTCAACAATAGACTTTTTTTCCAAAATTTGAGGCATCCGATCAGATTGAAATGCCACACAATGCACTCTCAGAATTAGTTGGCCAGTCAGTCTCGGTTTCGACTAAGCACATTTTCTTCGTGCCACCACGTCGTGACCAAATACACTGCTTGCGTTCTCGGTTATACGACTTCCCAGATATCTACAATACTGTAAATCAGTGATTCTCAAATGGGGGTCAGCGGAGCCTTTAGGGTCCGCGAAGTCATTTTAGGGGTCCGCGAAGCGCAGCCTCATCAGCCAAGCCCTGAAATAAAAGTTGTCTTTTCTCAGATTGTGAAGAAACGTTTCAATTTTTGGGTGAGTTTTCTCATGGATATTTCAAAAAGAGAAGTCTACTTCAAACTAGCCCTTACTTATATCCATATATTAAACCACTACCATAATTAACCTACACGTTCCCTTCCCCTCACAACGAAGGAGGTCCTCCAACATCTCCGCCGATCCACAAGGGGTCCGCGAAACGTCAATGGCTGAGAACCACGGCCGTAAAAGTTCCCGAGCGATAAGAGAAAGAGATTAGGGCACCTTTTGCTGGTTCCTGGCATTTCAGGTATTCTGCATGCATAAGCAAACAGATTGAGACGTGGCTTTAGTCACCGCGCCTCACGATTGTATTTTAGAGCGCAGCTCTTAGGGCCCGTTTCTGGCTTGAGCGGCGTCGCCATGGCCGTCGGCGTAACCGCGCAGTACATTATGGGAAATGTCCCATAAGGCACCGCGCGAGCCCCCCTTGGGGTCACGTGACCTAGGGTTTCACGTGACCCCCGAGGTGACGTGACCCCCGATGACGTCATCGTCAGTGATGACGTCGTCAGTGACGTCACTGATGATGTCACCGGCATCCGCATCGTCATTGTCATCATCACTGATGACGTCATTGGTATCCGCATCGTCATCGTCACTGATGACATCATCGGCATCGGCATCGTCACGTGACCCCCCAGGTCACGTGCCCGCCCCCGACGTCACGTGACCCCCCAAGGTCGCCTGACCCTCCCCCTCCCAGGTCACTTGACCCACCTCTCCAGAACCCTTCCCTCTTCCTCCTTAAGACCTGGGCTCTAATTAGGCGTTACAGGGAGTTGTAAACGGCTTTCACTTTTTAGCTCAATTTTACAAATTCTGTTCAGTATTGGTGAACCACAATTGAAATTCGGCAATTTCAAACCCAGAAAGTGTTTTGCTTGCCAAACATCTCTTGTTACTTCATGAGCAGAAGAGCAAGGATCGCACTCACTGTATATTTGCAGTTGTGCCCAACGCTGGCAGAGAATATTTTTTCAGAAAATAACAAACTTCCTCTTCCTTTTACACGAGCCTTTACCGACGCACAGTTTTCGTGTCTGAACGGAGGCTCTCAACTTAATTCAGCAAACTCGGTTAGTGAGAAAGCAAACACATAACATGGTTATTAGCAACGAGCAAATGCGCTCGGAGTAATTTTCTTGTTTGTTTTGTTCGGTGCGCAACATAGGCGTTCACGCCCGCATGTTCGGCCGGTGAACGATGCGACATTTCTCACGGTTGTGCTTGACTGTCGCTTTCTGGAGTCCAATTTGTATGGGGTGTTCTGGCTATATTACTACACAATAACTTTGTGTACAAAACGTCAAGTTGAACTACAAGAATGCAAGCGAGCGCGGACTTCATTTCAAGCGCTGCAGGTAAGCACAGAAGACATAACATGTGTGCTAGCTTTCAGCTTTTCGATGGCGCCTCTGAGTTTTACATTACGAACTAAGGCATCAGCAACAGTAGAAAAACAAATTGCGAAAAGCTAAGTGTGTCAATGGACGTACAAAACACAAATTTTAAGCAGTGAGAAAGTGCAGGCGAGCTGGTAATTAATGGACATCTTGTAAACTCTGAGATGGGGAACGAGCTGCGTTTGAGATTTTGTTGTGTTCGTCCGTTTTTTTATCGTTCCCTATCTCAGGGTTTACAAGATGACATATTTTAACTTGCTGACCGGCAAACGAGCAAGCTCGGTGTTCGTATGTGCTGGTTGTCACAACGTGTTGACTCGTGTGCAAGTTAAATCCCGAGTTTTGCATGTCGAGATGCCGAGCACCGGCTTGGCCAAATATAATAAGCATGTGTCAGAAGAACCTTTACGTGAGGGTACTGCTCGCGTGGAAGCGTCAATATCTGGTCATTCGTGCTAGTTCAGAGACCAAAAAGTTATACGCACAGGACGACAAACTTATCGTCCACACTTTGCGCATTATATCGGATTGACTTTCTTGATGCGTTCATCAAAACCAAAACCTAGACATTATATGTAAGTGAAGCCACATGGTGGCTACTGCCCTTTATGCCGCCCTTACTGGGGAGTCCAAGACGGATCTTCCGTCATCAGGTCGCTCAAGTGATCTGCATACCTGCCAACTCTCTCAGAGTGCACAGGACCCTTACGAATTTCGGCCACATCTTCCTATTGTACAGAATCGACCTCAAGTCTCCTGTAGAATGGCAACAATGAAAGCTTTTTTTGTTTTTTCAGCCACTTCGTTGACACAGTTATCATCGGCGTGTAAATCCAAAATGCTCGAAAGTAGGTCCAGGTTACTCGCGGGTCATCACGTGACCAATTTGGGTAGCGCAGCAGCGTAGGATTCGGGCGTAGTTTCGAATACCAAGGATCGACCTAGGGGCATATTCAAATTCCCAGCTTCTCCTCCGGGTCATGTGCTCCACCAAAATGTCACGAATGACAAATGGAGTGATGTGAGTGGTCGCAGTCATTTTGGAGCAGCTATTGGAGCAGCCAAAAGTTCATTTTGGAGAAGCAAAACGACCTTTCGGAGCAGAAACGTACGCTTCATTTTTATCTATATCAATGCAAAGGTGAGGAGGAGAGATGGCAAATATTAGAAGGAGAGCAAACACTAGCTGTTTAGTTGGGTGTCGAAGCACCAGACAGGGCACGTCGTTCACATTTTCTGTCTGATGATTATGGTGATAATGATCTTGCAGCTATTCCCTTTGTATCGAGCGGTCCCGAACCACGTTAGTACATTGTATCTTGTATGAGGAAGCGGCGCACTCTTGTGGTGATAATTGGCAACCGGCAATTGAGCAGGTATTATCAGTATACAGAAGGCTATGCTTCATGACACTTATTGAGGCCTGTCAGTTACGAAGAGCTTGGCAAACACCATCTTTTGGTTCCCCGGTGTTGATCAAGACAGTTAAGACCGTTTAAGAAGGTGCAAGACGTGTGCCCAGTTCTGTTAAATGCCTCTGGTGCAGGTTTGGTTAAGCAGGTCGGATACCAAGCAACACTGAACACGACTTCGGATATATTATACCGTACCGCTGGAGAGATCCAGTTGCGAAATACTGATCGTGGTCCACTCGGACACAAAACAGGTAGAAGCATCGGCCGAGACCCCAGTGAATACCCAGTGCAACATCTTTGGTCGATTTGGACAGCTAAGGACACTGGTGTTTGGCAACGGACCCTAGTTTAATAGTACTGTTTTCAAACAGTTTTTACAGCGGTCACGTACAGCACCCCACCACCGCTTTGTGTCACCCGGAGTTCAACGGGTTCGCCGAGCATGCATTATGTAGAGTCAAGGGAAGCATTCACGAGGTTCAGCTTTCGCAGCCTTGAAACCAGGCTTGCAAGCACTTCCCCACTCTTGTTGAAGTTCCACTGCTGCAGGACCTCAGCAAATGATAGGAAGCACACCTCTGAGCTGTTATTGGGCTACTGCATCTGATCCCAGATTGATTTTTGCCTATATGCATTTGGACTCATCCCCGCTCGAGAGGGGCAACCACCCTTTTGATGCGGGAGAGACTGTGTGGGCGCGCATCTTCGGCCTATGGTGGATTCCTGAAGTAGCCTGCTCACTTGATGGTATACAGATGACAACAGTAGGCACCCCAATAGGATACCACGAACAACATGCAGATCAGCTCTGGACACGTCATCCCCACAAGTGGACCGGCCTGTCTGTTGTCAGTTTTTGACGAAGAGGCGACAATGTTGTAGGTTTGGTGGTTCAACGATCAGGCTGCTCCTTGGCAGCAGGAGGCATCGAAAAGAGGGCCGGAAGAGTGGCCAGGTGATGGATTGCCCTGACGGGAGATGAGTAGTGGTCGGGATTCATG